ATATGATGTGCTGTATACTCAAAGTATCTCATGGGCATCACTTGAAATCTTATCCCGGCCATCCGCTTTGCAAAGCATGTTCCCTAGGGAAGTTGAACATCCAACCCTCAATTACAAAGATTATTCACGACCCTCCTAAGTTTCTTTAAATGATTCAAGGGGATTTTTTTGGACCTATCCAACCAATATACGAACCATTTAGATACTTTATGGTGTTAGTTGATGCATCGACACGATGGTCATATGTCTACTTATTATCCATATGCAATGCTGCATTTGCGAAACTCCTAGCATAAATTATTAAGCTTAGGGCTCACCACCCTGATTATCCGATCAAGTCGATTCAACGGGATAATGTTGGAGAGTTTACGTCACAGACTTTTAACGATTATTGCATGTTTGTTGGGATTGAAGTTGAACATCTTGTACCCCATGTTCAAATCCTAAACAGCCTGGCAGAAGCTTCCATAAAGCGCATTCAAACGATAGCTCAGACTTTGGTTATGCGAACCAATTTACCGGTATCTGCCTGGGGCCATGCAATATTACACATAGCTATGTTGGTCTGCCTGAGGCCCACCACTATCTAACCTCATTCACCATTACAGTTAGTCACTAGATACGTCTCACATTTACGTGTGTTTGGGTGCGCAGTTTATGTGCAATAGAACTGCCACTATGTACTAAAATGGGTCATCAAAGAAAAATGGGAATCTATATTGGTTATGATTCGCCATCCATTATACGCTACTTAGAGCCCTTGACAGGAGATCTCTTTACCTCATGTTTTGCGGATTATCACTTTGATAAGACAGTCTTCTCGTCATTAAGGAGAGATAAGATCACTAACGTTCCAGTAGAATGCCGCTAATTGTCGTGGATTACTCTCACTATGTCTCATTTAGATCCCCACACCCCTCAGTCTAAAACCGAAGTGCGACACATTCTAGATCTTTATAGCATCGCTCAAAGCATGCCGAATGCTTTTACCGATCTAGCAAAGGTGACGAGATCACATATACCCGCTACAAATACACCTGCAAGAATGGACGTACCGAATGTACCGAACTGTCCCCGAGGATGGGGCGGCCGCACCTCCCACACGACAAGGTACACTAGCGGCTAACCAATCATTTGTTCTTACCTTGAAGTGTGGCAGGCCTCCTGGTTCAAAGGATTCACAACCTCAGAAGAGGAAAACGGCACAAACTAGTGATCCTAGTTTGAATCCGACCATTGCTTACTTATCTGTTTCAACTCATGAGGTTATTCTAGATTATGGTGATGTTTTAGATGAAACATACCGGCCTCCCGAGAATCATGAGATTTCGGTCCATTACGCAGTTTTGGATGAGGTTTGGAATCGGAAGGAAAATGTGTTTGGGCCTGTAGCTCATACTCCATCACATGTGAAGCCCGTTGGCTACAAGTGGGTTTTCGTGAGGAAGCCTAATGAGAAGAATGAAATAGTGCGATACAAAGCACGCCTCGTAGCACAAGGCTTCTTTCAATGCCCTTGGATTGATTACGAGGAAATGTATTCCCCCGTAATGGACGTCATAAAGTTCCGCTACCTAATCAATTTGGTAGTTTCTGAAAAACAAAATATGCAACTTATCGACTTGGTAACCGCGTATCTCTATGAGGATCTAGATACGGAATATACATGAAAGTTCCAAAAGGATTTCCATTGACTGGTTCAAATAGTTCTAGATCACATAATACTCTACGGATTGAATCAATCTGGGTGGATGTGGTATAACCGTTTGAGTGAATATCACATAACGAACTATGCCCATGTGTGTTCATTAAGAAGTCACATTCCGGATTTACAATCGTTGCAGTTTATGTTGACGACATGAACCTCATTGGAACGCCCGTAGAGCATAAGGAAATTGCCGCTCACTTGAAATCGAAATTTGAGATGAAAGATCTTGGAAAAACTCGATATTGTCTCAGCCAAGAGATTGAGTATTGTTCGGAAGGAATCCTAGTACATTAATCAAACGACACCCAAAAGTTGTTGTGATGTTTTAATGAAGATAAAGCGAAGCCTTCGAGTATTCCTATGGTCGTTCAGACTTTAGATGCAAAATGAGATCATTTCTATCCAAATAAGGATGATGAAGAGATGTTGAAACCTGAAGTTCCATACCTAAGTGCAATTGGTGCTTTATTGTACTTGGCTCAATGCACTAGACCCGACATCTCCTTTGTTGTTAATCTTTTGGCTATATACAACATTGCGCCTACACACAGGCAGTGGAATGGTGTTAAAAATATTTTTTGCTACCTCAAGGGTACGACGGAATTGGGCTCATTCTACACCCATGAATCCTTGAGAGGAGCTGTCCCCCCTGGGTCCTCGGCTAGACTCACGCCTTGTTGGTTACGCAAATGTTGGTTATCTGTCTGACCCATATAGGGTACGTTCTCAAATGGGTTATGTTTTTACCATTGTAGACATCACTATATATTGGAGGTCTACCAAGCAAACGCTAGTTGCGACTTCTTTGAACCATGCCGAGATTCTAGCCCTGCATGAAACCTCAAGAGAGTGATTTTGGTTGAGAGTGGTTATGGAACATATTCGAAGCACTAGTGGTATTTCTTCCATCGTTGACCTTCCTACGACGATCTCTGAAGACAATGCAGCATGTATCAAGCAATTAAAGAAGGGACACATCAAGGGAGACAACACCAAGCACAAAGTGCCAAAATTCTTTTATTCTCACCCACAATAACAACATCAGAACATTAAAGTCAAGCAAATCCGTTCCCCAACAGCCTGGCCGATCTCTTCACGAAGTCATTGCCTAAGTCTACTTTTCTATAAGCTCGTCCAAGGAATCAGTTTGGGTAAATTATCCGAGTTGAATTGCTTGTAGTTCTCTTATTTGGAAGTTATGTCTAACTCAGGGAGAGTATCCTAAAACATACTCACTTGATCTTAATGTACTTTTTTTCTTACGATGGGGAGCATTTTTCCCATTGGGTTTTTGCTACCTAACAAGGTTTTATCGAGGCACCCATCCTGAGATAATCATACTTCGTTGAGGTCACTACTTTCATCATGTTTGACGTTTGTTTTAGACATTATGCATACTTCTCACTTTTCTCCTTAATCTATGGGTTTTCCCCATGCCTTGAGTTTTACCATAGCAAGGTTTTGTGAGTTTTACTACCAATGCCTACTTACTTTCTTATATTTGAGACTCGCATTCACTCGTTGTGCCGACAAATTCATCAACTGTTCTACCTCATCTGTTGAAGATCTAATGCGACGTTTTGTTTGAGTATTTACACACTCAAGGGAGAGTGTTGCAGTCCTATCGGATTAGGAATGTGATTGTGTGAATCCTAGTGTATCTAGGAGTATCTTGTATATTCCCTTTAGTAGTTTAATTCCTATTAGAGATGTAATCCTATTAGGGTAAGGATTCTACCTATCCTACTACTATAAATAAAGGCATAAGGGGTTGATACAACATACACCATCTCTCTTCTCTTTCTATTGTCGCCAGCCCCCTCTCCCTCTCTGTCCTTTATACAGTTAAATCAAATAGGCCTACAACAATCTCTAATATTTAAATTATGCATATAGCGAACTAGAATCACATAATAATGGTGATTTATAAACTTTGATTTTTGCCTTATAATGTATATTTGTTAGTGTTTAATTGAAGACTTGTTACTAGGGTTGAAATTAAAAATTTTAAAAATTATTATTACTAAGGGTTTTTTTTATTAGCACTCCATATATTGTTGAATATACCTCACATTAAATTTAATACTAGATAAGTTATTTAACCTACTACGCAATGACAATTTCAACCTTAAAAAAGTAAAACATTTCTAAATACACCCAAAATCATTTTAACTTATATATCCCAAGATTATTTATCTTCTTCTACTCTCAAAAAAAGATGAATGTTCTTGATGACCCTTAGATGAAGGCACTGGTTTTTGTTGATAAAGCTCTCACTTTCTTATTAAGCAAAGAAAACCGTCATGAAGTGGTGATATCAGGGCATCTCTAGGAACATGGAAGTCTTAACTTGTTACAAAACATTAACAACGCCCATCAATGCAACATATCATTTTAGGTTCATTTGCAACAATAGAAATTGCACTAAAAATCTTAGCTTGCTTGAATAATGTTACTTGGAGAGTCATTCACAATCACTTGAGACGGAGGTATCATCTCCTTACTTTCCTCAGGGCTGTTCTCCAAAGATGAAGATGGAGAGCCAAGTCCAAGACCACTATATATTGCTACATTCTTCCGAGCTGTGTTATTAGGGTTCATTTTGATTCGAAACTTCAATGTCCTTTGATCAGTTGGATTTCCCTGTCTTTTTGAAGTTTCATCTTTGAAGGAACATCTCTTAGCTACTTGAGTAGAAGGCAAACATGAATTCCGTTTAACTGAAATGTTTACAGGGAGGACCATTGAATTATGTGACAAATGAGCACTGTTAGCAGCTAAGCCACCTTGTACAATACCGAATAAGTTTTGCTCCGTTGGTCTCTTGTGAGCTGTTTATTAAAGAAATGCAAGCACCCACGAGCTAGACATACCTTCTGGCTCTCTCCATATGTCTCTCTACACACACATCATGATCTTGAAACAAGAAGGATACTTCCATGATCTTTCCCTTGCACCTAGGTTTGAAGAGTGTGAAGTGTATGTAGAAAATGTGGGATGTAGAAAATACAAAGTGTATGTTGAGAGTGTAGGGTGTGAGGGTATTATAGGAAAGTATGTGAGGTGTATTAAGATAAATTTTAATTGAAAAATCAAATATGATGTGTACGTGGGTGTTAATATACAAGCCATTATTAAAGGAAGGGACTATTACAATAACTTAGAGGAGGGAAAAAAATTTCGATGCACATAAGTAGAATATTAGCACCCTGTATACTAGAAAGTTATTTAATGCCGTTGTGATGACTTGTGACTTGTGACTTGTGACTTGTGAGAAATTAATCTATGACAATATATGCGAAACAATTATTAAAAGGATCGATCAATGAAAAAATCCAGCATCATGGGTTCTTACAGCTTAACCAATTTAAAGAACAATGGCCTTCTTCGAAAAGAGGAACAATGGCCTCTCCCATCTCAATGTTTTATGAAGAAAAAAAAAATACATAAAGCATTTTTTGTTTTTTTTTTCCCCAGCTTTTCCAAAACAAAACTTCTTGCAAAATTTTGGGCCCTTCCGATGTTCCTATTCCCATAATTTCCTCTGATGAACTGTGATCAGTACCTCATCATCAGAAATTAAATTTAAGCTGCCAAAAGTGAAGCCAAAACCATGATCAAAACCGCGGCACCAACGGCCACGATCCCACGAGTGCGTGAGGCAGCAGATGGAGCAGGTGACGAGGGTGTAGGCGCTGAAGCACTATCTTTGTCGTGATTTTTCTTTGACGGGGCTGAAGCCTTGTTAGATGATGACTCGTCGTCATCTGACGGACTGGGAGCCCCGTCATCACCTTCTTTCTTAGACTTCGAGGGGCTGGGAGCCTTGGCAGACTTTGGTGAGTGGGCGGGCGCAGAGCCGGAATTCTCGATGTCAGGCACGTCGATGATGGAACCTACTTGGAGAACTGAAATATTGTAGGGTTGGGAAATAACCGACTTAACAAGGCTGACGTGATTGTCGCCATTGTTTCCCTTGGCTGCGGATCCAAATGAGACTTGGTTGTCTTTCACCGAAACGGTGATGAAACCTTGTTCCTTGCGAGCTTCGCCGGTTGATTGAAACAATGTGGTGAGAGTTGCGGACTTGTTTGATTTGAAGATCTTTTTAAGCTTGTCCGTGTCGTAGTAATCCAAGACAACATGGACGCTCAGAATTTTCTTGGTTAGGTCAGAGGATTTTCCGGAGAGACCTCCAGCAGCGCCATTGTCCACGGCGAGGATTGTGATGGTGCTGCGTCTGTTGATCTCGTCAGCGAGCTTTGTCTCAGAGAGGAGGTTGTTGAAGTTGGAGAAGTCCGACTGCTTCTCTAAGAGCTTGGTGATGTTGAAGGCCGACGAGGCGGAGAAGAGGAGGAAGAAGGAGGAGAAGAGGATGCCACGTTTCATTTTGTTTTAACTAGTACTAGTTCTTTGCTTTGCTTTCTTTCTTTGATGCTTTCAAAGCTTGGTTTGTTGTGGGGAGGGAGTTTGTGGGATTTATATTGGGGACAAAGAGTCATATTGCTATAATTAGACAAATTACAAAGCGGGATGTTAGAACTCAAAAGGTTGGGAGTGAATTTCTCTTTTGCCTGAATCATATTTTGGATTAGTTCTAGTCGCACGTAGAAAATTTCTCAACATTTTAGTTACTTGCAAGAATCAATCCAAAATTAGAGCATGACACTCCATTATATTCTTACTCTCACACACTCTAACAGTCTCGTAATGCTCGGGCTCGTGTATATAGTGGTATAGAAGTTGCATTGCCCTCTACAAGTCTACACCGATATATGGTCATAATTCGACTTCTTTAAAATCCTCTTATGATCAAGAAGTTTTTGTTTGTAGGTATAACGTCGTTATATAATTTTACTGATCCACATGTTATAATATATGAGCTAGTGTACGATAAATTAATATAGAGTATAGTATTAAATGTTTAGATATTATGAGTGCATTACTTAAATTGCTTTTCCAAAATATATAGTTATATTAAGATGTTATTCATGTTGTAAACATTGTGTCTTTCATACCCACTTTGGTGAAAAACTAGATTTCTGTCCTATAGTTTCACATGAGCTCATATGGATGGTCTCCAATGTAATTTTATGGATAATATTTGCATCGATGGGGAATGAATGCACATATCTTACCCTTTATGGATAACGTATATTCATCGTATAAATTTTATAATTGGAACCATGTAATTTTTCAAACTTCATTTGAAGATCATTGTTATAAAAATCATTTGAATTGGAGATTGTTTTGTCATCCAAATGTAAGAAACAAATCGACGGTGTTAGAAATAAGTAACAAATTAACTCATGACGAACCATCTATTTATTTGATTCAGATGTAACAAATCGGCCTGTTTTATTTCGTTGGAGCTACTGTTAAATGATGCCTTGGGATTATGAGAATATTTGGAATGATGACCTTGTATGAATTATACTTGTGGAAGTCGAGCAGCATATGCCATTCGACTTGAAGCACTTCCTATATAATCCCGTGTTGGTTGAGACATGACCTCTTGCATGATCTTACTGTAGCACTCGATCGAATGCATTTGGCTCCGACATTGCTCACTGCATGTTTTGCTCTGTTTTACTGTTATATTCTTCCTCATTTTTATTAGTAAAGATTGTCCTCTTTATGTATGAAGATAATCAGTTGAGTCGTTGTGAGGGAGGACTCATGTGCTCAACGTACGTATGAGCAGTGGCGAAGCCAGGATTTTTAGAGGGAGGGGCGAACTTAAAAAATGCAAGGTTAAAGAAAAATGGCAACAACTATATCTTTTTATATAGTAATATCTTTCATAATTAATCAATACAAACAAATTACAATTTGTTGCTGACGAGATTTCATGTCATGAAAACGTCGCATAATAGGCTCATTATCAATAAAAGCAAATACATCTCTCTCAATGTAAACAACCATGCTATCACTCAACCATTGATCTCCCATTTTGTTACGCAATGGTGTTTTTTGATATACTATACTCCAACCACTTAAACTTATCAAACCAACCGATGATAAAACATCGATTGTCGCTAACCTTTCTTGGCATGATGTGGTCTCTAGGTTGACAAGGATCAATTTGGAGATAGTGTCTATGAATTGCTTCACGATAATTAGGTGGATAATCAAGCATTCAACGTCTATGTGCAGGATCTACATGAAGATTAGCCAATATTTCATCCAACTTAGTGACCTCACTTTGTTGTGACCTACTTGGAATATTTAAATGAGGACTTCTTGGAATATTTGAAGGAGGAGGAGGACTACTCGGAATATTTGAAGGAGAAGGACTACCCGAAAGTGCATGTAAGTTGGTTTCTAAATGTTTTAGGGATTAGGGGACTAGACAACGAAATGCCATCTTCTATTTACTTAAAGAGTTGTGCTTCTGATATTTTCTTGTGCAACCCACAGATGCCTGTCCAAAGATGCATATGTTTCTTGTGCAACCCATTCGATCACTACAAATGTTCCCTCAGTACAACAAGCATTAATTCCAACATGCACATAATAATGACACTCAAGATCGACCATTATACAACTAATCAATTCAACTAATCATCAAGAATTCAAATTTTAATTTTCATCCTAAAAAATAATTTCATAATTTCATATCAATAATCATAGAAGCATATGATTGACATCAATAATCAATAACCAATAACCAATAACCATATTAGTGCATTACCATATGATTCTATACCAATTAAGCGAAATTCGTATTAAATAATTAATTAGGGTTAGGGATTATACATTTAGGAATTAAAAAATTTACCATTGAAGGGTGGAAGCCGATGGCTTAGCGGCTGGAGAATGGCTTGTGACGGCTCAACGGGATCAGCCTAATAGAAATTAAAGGGGAACAGTTGGCGTTGGTAACTTGGTTGGCTACTGGGATTTTAGGAGCAGCTTTGTTCTCTCTCTGTCTTGATTGGTGAACGGGACGGGAGGGAGGAATTGAAGTAACACTATGTTTGGATGAAGAAATTTAAGATTACTAAGGAATTTCAAAATGATAGAAATTGAAATGACAATATTTTATTTTCTAGAATTTGTAAATTTTCTTGTTTGGTTAACATAAAAGAACAATGGAATTGAATACGGAATTTGTTATTTTTAAACTTTCAATCATAGAAATTGGGAAATGACACATATTTACATGGAATTTGAACTTGGGAATTTGAGGTCCTAAATTCCAAGTTTTTTTTCTACGCGGAAATTCTAAATTTCTATGTTTATGAATCCAAACAATGGAATTTGTGCATGTCAATTTATAATAAATTTTGACTTTTACCAAAATTACAAGTTTATTTTCCACATCCAAACATAATGTAAGAGAAATTTTATTTAAACTCATGTAACCTCTTTCTACACCCAACTTACTTTTTGCACCCATTTGATTTTTAACTAAACTATCAATATCTCTTTAAATCCAAATTTACTACCTAAAATACCCTTATAAACCTAATTCAATATGCAAATTTATCTTTACACCCATTTGACTCTTACCTCTATTAATGACATTGTGCAGCCATCCAATGATTTTAGCTTTTGAAAAGGTATCAGGCAAGGTTTAGTAGGTGGATTTGTTAGCTATTTAATTCTTTATCCAGGGTGATTGTGGACTCATTTCCTAAATCAGTGTTTTCAAGCATTGATCAGTTACAAGAAAAATGTAAATCGTATTGGAGGGCATGTGGACACAAGACAGCAGCAGCCATACATGTACTAGCAGCAGCAGCAAATATCGTATTGGTACGTGTTTTGGGGTGCAGACATACACCGGGAGAGTGTCTACAACAATTTGTTGTTGCAGAAAGTTTTACAAAGGGTACTATGTGGGATTGATGAAAAAAATTGAAACTCAAATACTCATATTCTAAACTCTAAAAAAAGTTAAATCAAACGAATAAAATATCTATAATCGAGTCATACCTTAATGGGAGGATTTAGCCGGAATGAATGTAAGATAAACAAAGAGTGATGCTAGGATTTAATTATAGTGTGTGGGTTTATTGATAAATTTGAGTTTTATTATTAATTTTATTTCGTACTTAATAGTAATTATGCAATATGGTAACATAGACAATTAACATTTAAAATTTAAATTAGGTGTAGAAAGAGATTACATGAGTTTAAATAAAATTTCCCTTGAAGTCAAGGGGAACGGGGGACAAGGGGGTGACACGTGGTCCTCCTTTATAATATATTTTTTTTCAAATATTCAAAACGGCGTGGTTTTGGCGTGGTTTTTTTTTTTTTTAAATAGCAGTCTATTGCTGCTGCGCGCAGCAGAATAGACCGCCTAGCAAACAGAGGTCCAGAGGAGATGAACCAGTGGGTTTTCCAGCGAGGGGAGTGGCAAACCCAGCTCTCCAGTGGTGTTTCCCGACAAGGGGAGTGGCGGCCGCCACTCCTCGCCCTCACGTGGCTTCGCCATTGCGTATGAGCGAACCCTAGGTTGTAAACCATAAGTGTCACGCCTCGGACCCGGGGTCGTAGTAAAAACTTGAACCCGAATCCGAAACGCGAACTAAAAACTAAATAATTAAAGTAAAACTGAAACGGGTTGGAAAATAAAATTGTTCTTATTAATCTTCTTGTTGATTAATGGGATCTGGTTTGCTAATTGGATAAATACTGCTCTTGGGTGTTTACTTGTTATTGGTTACGGAATTATTGGTGAAGTTATATTCGCTGAGAATATGTTGTGGTACATGTGAATGATGAAATGAGATTATTTGTGCATATTACTCATGTATGAGAATAGTTGGAAGTTCGGTGTTGAGAAAGGAACTGGAAATGAGGGTAGTTGGAAAGGATTTTTTGTGTAGTTGAGCCAAACTCTTAGTAGGTACCAAGTCTCAGGCGAGCCCACAGTGCACAGTTTCTTTGAGGGTAATTCAGGATTGGCGACGAACGGTTTTGGCAAGATGACTAACAAAAGGGGAAATTGGGATGATTGAGTTACAGGGGGTTAATTTGTATATTAGAACATTCAAACCACCACTGCAGAGGTAAAATGCACGGTATGGGACGTGCAGGTCCGCGTGTTTTATTATATGCATTAACGGGTAGAGATGAAGAGTATTGTATCACTCTCATGCATTGTTGATGATAATGATTTGGTACTTGATTACATGATTTTATGACACTTAATTTAATATTGTCAATTTACTGTGATAAGGTTATGTCTCTACTGAGCTGTTGAAGTTCACCCCTCTATTGTTATGTAGGTTCACAAACTAAACAATCTAAGAGGGTAGACGGGATGAGATCGGATTAAGTGTGAGGATAGAATTTTGTATTTCTTTATTTTAGCCTTGTAAAGAATTACCTGGGGCATGACAATAAGCCTTGAACCTTTGCTCACACTAACTCTTTAATTCGTTAGGGACTCTAAAATCTCAAGACCGGTTCTAATTGCAAAGTATTAATTCACTTAATATTATG